GTATACCTGGAGACCGCTATGACATCGAAATTTGATCCGAAGCGGGGCTAGTAATGTACGAAACTTGTACTTCGTCATTGCATCACACCCTGATTTGAAGCGTGCTCGCTCAAGTATACGTTCCTTTCAAAGAATCAGTTTACTCTGAACACTGCTTATCCGCTCCCCGTATACCACACGAGAAAAGGGAACAAGGGTGCAACTGAAGACATTGTGTGCCTAATCTACAGAAGAAAATCGAGTGACGACCTTCAATCGAGGCGCACTCCACCCAACAATTTCCCACCGACTCCCGCCATAAAATGTCCACATAACGAAACTGTATTGACAGAAAAAAAAAAAAGGGAAAACAAAAGGAAAGAAAAGGGGAAAAAAAAAAGGAAAAGAAAAAGAAAAAGAAAAAAAAGAATGGCAGATTTGTAAACCTTCACTCTGTCAAAACCCATCATGCTTGGCTACCTCAATCCAAATGGAGCTGGACTTTCGCCGAAGAAGACGAGTCCCCTTCCAACAATGCGTGCATTGGCATTCTGCTTGAGAACGCTCTCCGCGTGAACCCCGACAGGCAGCCTCATCATGCCAGAGGTGGTGATGGACCATCCCCGGAATCGTGCGGTGCTCCGGCATTCATGGAAGAAGCGGTTTCTCTCCAAGTGCTTGGTGGAGAAGCCCGTTCTTACATGCGCCTGTTCCGTGGACGACTCCCTGCGCCTCTCCTCTTCCCAATTACTACTCCTCACGAGCCGACGTCGGCTACGCCATAGAAATTCGAACAGCCCCGGAGCTCCAAACCCCCACATCGAGGGCGCATCCGACAAGAGTCCTCCTTGTCGTAGATTCCTACCGCGCAGACCGATCCCATCAGACAGTCCTTCGTCAAACACATTCCGCCCACGCAGAATTGTCCGCCCGCGCAGATCTGGTGAGGTTGCTCTCTGGATTTCGCGTATCAGGTCGGCATGATGACTATGGAATCTATGGATTCGCTGTACGGCAGCAGCAATGTTTGCCGAGTCTGCTGTTCCACGCACAGGGCGTGGTACTGCTCCTGCTCCTGCTCCTGCTGCTGCTGCAGCAGACCCTCCGACTACATCAGGATCGAGAGGAGGTTCATAATCTACATCTTCATCGTCTTCGCCATCGTGGTCACCATCCCTGCTATCATCACTGCTCCAATGCCCTGGCATATCCAGACAATCTACGCCATCATCACTCGACGGAGACTCTTCGGAGCCTGAAGAGTCAAAGTCCTCCTCACTCTCCGTCTCGTCCGAGTCGCTACTTTCCCATTCCTCGAACGAGTCACACCCTTCCTCATCCTTTGACATGCTGTCATCGTCTTCACCGTCCACTTGTTGGGAACCAGGGGGTTCATAATCGACATCATCCTCCTCGTCTTCCCCCGAGGTCTTGTCCTGCGAATCTTCCTCACTCGTCCCATTTGTATGAGAGTCCGGATCCCGCAGCACGAGGTCGTCCAAGAAAACAGGACAATCGCCATCGCTATCGTCCTCTTCCCCCTCCTCCTCCTCGTCTTCGTCAAAATTAGGATAAAAAGTGAAGAGGCCATCGTCGTCATCGTCCAAACTGTCGTCGTCGTCTTCATCATCATCCACGTCATCGTCATCGTCATCCGATCCCTCATCGCTGGAGCCATCATCATCAGTAAACTCAGCAGTTAGCGCCATGACTGGAAACCCTCTGTGTGGCAACATCGCCTGCTCAAGATCTCGGAGGGCGGCATCAAAGAAGTCGTCGTCGCTGAACCAGACCTGGAACAGCGGATTGCCTCCCGTACCTTGCCACTGCCACCCAGCATACTCTATCTCATGGATCTCCATCCAGTGGCTGAGGGACTCTTCGCCGGGCTGAACATTCCAGCACACTCGCTCACAAGACACAGGAGGAGATGCACTCGAAGCCGGCTCCTGCTGCTCACATGCCTGCCGAACGAGCTCCCGCCCATGCATCCTCAGGTCCTTCAGAAGATCAACTCCCTCAAGATGTAAGAAGGTTGATATACGAGGGTCCCGCTGAGACTGGACCAGCTGAAGCTCGTTCTCCACACACCATGGACAAAACCATTCTCCCTGCAAGTACAGTCCCAAACAGCACCAACTCGACATAAGCATCCACATAGCATCCACACAGCACCCACGTAGCATCATACACACAGCATACACATTGCATGCTCTGTGATCTTGCACATCAAGATAATCGTTGTGTCCTCAAAGCCATCTTCCTTCACCTCCCCTCCCCCCCTCCTCCTCTCTTCTTTGCCTCCACTATCCTCTGTCGTTCTTTATGCGTAATTGTGAGTTATGGACGATGTCAGAATGAACATGTGTTTTATGCGTAACTGTGAGTTCTGGACAGTCTTCTAAACGAAAAAGGCTGTGCAGGCTGATGAGGTATAGGCAGGCCCTACCCTGGCAGAGCGGGGGCATTCCAAGTGGTGAGACTCCCAATGGTACCCAGTCGCACAGCGACACCTCCCCATGACCTGAAAAATTGGCTGGCTACACACTCTACTGTCTTCCCCCCCAAATGGTACCCAGTCCTGAGAAATCTCTCTTGGACCGGCAGCAGATTTGACTGGCTACACACTACAGTCTTCCCCCCCAATAGAACATGTGGTGATTATCGCTCTGTACCTACACCTGAAAATTGCCCCAAATGAGAGCTATACGTACCGTACGGACGGTATCAACACAGATAAGTGCTGACACTAAGAATGAGAAACACAAAAGTCAGCTATTGAAAAAGATCAGTTTCATGGGAGAGCCAAAACGGGGGAGGCCAAGCATCAGAAAAGACAATGGATAAAAGAAAGGGTGATTAGGCAGAGACGGTGTATGCACCGCATCAATAATCTCTTACACAGTCAGGAACGGGGAAACAATAGCAAGAGACCAAACAAATGTCAGCTCCAAGGCTATGTCAACAGCAACCACAAGAACGACCTTAGCTACACAGAGGACCTTGCCTGAAAGCGGTTTACAAGAATGACCTTGCCTGAAAGCAGTTTACAAGAATGACCTTGCCTGAAAGCAGTTTACAAGAATGACCTTAGCTACACAGAGGACCTTGCCTGAAAGCAGTTTAAGCATGTGTACCCCATCCTATCCACAGGGGTATAGCAGGGTTTGAACATGCGACCATTAGGTTAAGTAAGCTCAATGCTCTACCAGCTAAGCTAGACACACAGAGAAAGAGAAAAGGGACTTGAGCCATGGATACACTACCTCCTTGTGGATGAATGGTAGATGCATGGGAGGCCGTTGGTGTTTGTAATCAGTGCGGTGCATCTACCATTCACCCACAAGGTAGATGCACTGCACTGAGTACAAAGAGATCACGAGTTCGAGTCGTTTGTTGCTGAATGGTACCATTTTGCTGCACTGACAAAGCTGTTCGATGACAAACAGATCTGGAGTTCGGGTCCTGACGAGCAGCAAAATGGGGTTGGTAAAGGCCCTAAAAAAAACACGCTCTTCTTTTTCCAAAAAAAGAGCTGGACGAGTGAAAAACCAAAAAAAAAAAAAAAAAAAAAAGGGGTTGGTGAAGAGTCTGAAGGCCACCATGCTCTTCTTTTTCCAAAAAAAGAGCTGACGGCGCTGAAGGCCGTGAGAGTGTCAGTTCACTACCGTCTTTCACTGCTGGATTCACCGGAATAAAACGTACGGTCATTATAGAGCTGTATTTGGGGCAATACAACGTACGTTGTACGGTCATTATATCTGTATTTGGGGCAACTTTGAGTCTAGGTACAGCAATAACACCCGAATATACGTTGTATTCGGCTTAAGACGGGTAGGGGCTGAAGGTGATGCCGCACCTTCGGAGTATAGAAATCGACGGCCTCAAGGAGACCAAGGAACATCAATAAGGAAAAAAAGGATGAGGAACTATAGACACTGAGCTCGTCAAAGCTAAGTACCGGCAGGAAGAAGGAGAGGACACACCCAGTTAGTAAATATCGCACGTAAAAAAAAAAAAAAAAAAAAAAAAAAAGAGAGCATGTAAGGCGAGAAAGAACATGCAGAGAAGGTGAAGATGGGGAATTTTAATTGGGGAAGGACGGAGAAAGAAAAAAAAAGAAATAGAAAAAAAAAAGAGGAAAGGCGAGAACACAATGCAGAGTGATGAGCATAAGAGGTTTGAATGTAAGAGAAAAAAACAAGACAAGAAAAAAAAAGAGGATGGAAGCTTCAATGACAAGGTAAGAAGCGTATGTCAGGCGAGCCGGTGAGAAAGGGAAGTGAGTACAGACACTCTTTTTGTTTTTTTTTTTTGGGGGGGGGGAGGCCAACCACGTAGGAACAAAACTCCAGAATTATAGAGAGTAACCCAGCAGAGACTAGAGTGCACGCATGGGGAGGAAAAGGAAACGAGGAAGAAACCGAGAGAGGGAGAGGGAGAGAGAGAGAAAGAGAAAAAGAGGAAAAGAGAGAAAGAGAGAGGAAGAGAGAGCCTGGGACTACGGTAACACAGCGAGAGTAAAGGTCCTTCAGAGGATGATACTGGCGCCAAGCACAGGGAACGACGAAGCATAATGTGTGACGACGTGCCCACGATAGGTCAAAGGGTTATACTCAGAACAGGGACTTAGAGGATGTTTGTGACCGCAAACTCAGCCAGATTCAGACAAGAAAGACCTGGCGCACGAACGAATGGTCTCCTCAGGGCACTGAGGACACCAAATGATTAGGTGGTCCAAGGCACTGAGAAAGGACATAACTAAGGTCAGCAGATGCTCACTTCCCGAGACACACAAAAAGGCATGGCATTGCAGGACACATCCTTAAAATGGCGGGAAAATTGATCGGTCACAGTGGGCGGGAAAATTGATCAGTCACCTTAAAATGGCGGGAAACTTGATCGGTCACAGTGGGCGGGAAACTTGATCGGTCACAGTGGGCGGGAAACTTGATCGGTCACAGTGGGCGGGAAAATTGATCGGTCACAGTGGGCGGGAAAATTGATCGGTCACAGTGGGCGGGAAAATTGATCGGAGATGTGATTTATTGGCGGGGAATCGGATTACAGTGGGCGGGAAACTAGATCGGAGATGTGAGGCGTAAGCTTCGAAAGCACGCCTGTAGCGCGAGAGGAGAGGCCCTTCCTTACCCTCCTCCCATTCGGGCATGGACAAAATATATACCGGCCAATGAATCGTGGTCCAATGAATCGTGATCCTCATTAATAAAACGCCATCTCAAATATTTCCCCTCCGACGATCACATCTCGTTGATGCATGCCGGCAACAACCTAGGTAGTCACAAATTGATCGAAACGATTCATGGATTCATTCACTCGTTCATTCAAGCATTAACAAATCAATAAATCGACAGATCGATTCCACATTGATTCGTAAGTTCAGTGAATGATGGACCGATTGGTTGGTTGGTTGATTGGTTTACCGATTGACTGATGGATCTTCAATCGGACTGACTGATTAGCTTATTGATTACTTCAGCGGCCGCCTACTGATCAGCTCATCGACTGGCTGATCGACTCACTGATTGGTAGACCGATCCATTCATCGGTGAATTAGGGCCAGATCCCACTCTGTCTCTTATACACATCTAGATGTGTATAAGAGACAGAGCATTAACAAATCAATAAATCGACAGATCGATTCCACATTGATTCGTAAGTTCAGTGAATGATGGACCGATTGGTTGGTTGGTTGATTGGTTTACCGATTGACTGATGGATCTTCAATCGGACTGACTGATTAGCTTATTGATTACTTCAGCGGCCGCCTACTGATCAGCTCATCGACTGGCTGATCGACTCACTGATTGGTAGACCGATCCATTCATCGGTGAATTAGGGCCAGATCCCACTAGCCCCTATTGCTCATTTTTTACCCTCGATTACGAAGATCAACGGTCAGAAATGAATAATAGGGGCTAGTGGGATGTGGCCCTTAGTGAGGTATGAGTTTACTGAGTGAGTGACTGATTGACTGCGTGCGTGCGTAAGTGAGTGACCGGGTGAGGGTGTGCGTGAGTAAGTGGGTGCGTGAGTGAGTGAGTGAGTGAGTGAGCGAGTAGGTAAGTGTTGATTATCATGAGCAGAGCAAGCCGAAAGAGCCATTCACAAGGTAGCTAGTTCGTATACACTTGAGTGAGCGAGCCGGTGGGTATTTGCGTGTTGATTAACATCAGCAAGCCGCAAGAACCCATTCACAAGGACGCTTGATTGATTGAACCATTCACCCCAAGGGCGCTTGATGGAACCATTCACCCCAAGGGCTTAATGGAGCCATGCATCCCCAGGGCATCATTTCATGGCTTCATTCCCTTCCTGTTGGGTCTCCGCAGAGGTCTGCCAGCGGCCTTTCTTTTCTACTTCTTTTTCTAGTTGCACCAATCATCACGTGAAATAATGGGTGCAAATCTCGTTTGGGACCACTTGATTATAGCATTGTGACCGACCACAAACGTCTTGCAGCATCTCGGTGCGCAGTCTGCACACATCCAAGTAAAAACAGCTCCTTCGTGTTTGCTTTCTTCTCAAATTGTTACTCTTCTTCTTTCCTCGCTCTTGTCCTTTTCGCTTTCTTCTTAACTCCTCACATGGCTTCAGTTACTTGCCTCCTCCTTTGTCCTCCTCCTCCACATCAACTTGATCTTCATCATGATTCGTCGCATCTTATCTCATCACTTTTCTCGTTTGTTTCTCCCCCCTCCCCCCTCTTTTGTTCCTGTCATCTTTCTTCTTCTCTCTCCATTCATCTTACTTATTTCGATTTTCTTACGACTTTGCTCAGCACCTCCTACCTTTCTTCGTTCTCATTTCCAGCTCTTTTTTTTCTTGTTTTCCTTTCTTTAAATCCCTTCCTTTCAGTACTCTTTCCAGTACCTTTTTCCCTAGCAGACTCTTTATTCCTCTCTCTCTCTCTCTCTCTCTCTCTCTCTCTCTCTCTCTCTCTCTCTCTCTCT